ATGTCATTAACCTTCCCTACTCTCACACACCGCCTACCATGTCATTACCATCCCCTACTTCAACATCACCACCATGTCATTAACCTTCCCTACTCTCACACATCACCTACCCATGTCATTACCATCCTCCCTACTCTCACAGATCACCTACCCATGTCATTAAAACCACCTCCTGACTCTCACACATCACCTACCCATGTCATTACCTCCTCCCTACTCTGCCACACATCAAACCTACCCATGTCATACCCTTCTCCCTACTCTACACATCGCTAGCCCATGTCATTACCTTCTCCCTACTCGCACACATCGCCACCCATGTCATTTACGCCTTCTCCCTACTCTACGACACTATCAGCCTACGGGCGGCAGTGTGCGAGGGTACCTTCTCCCTACTCGTCACGACAGTCGCTACCCATGTCATTACCATCCTCGCCTACTGCTCAGCACATCGCTACTCCATGTCATTAACCCTTCGTCCCTACTGCTCGACACATCACCTTACCCTTGTCATTACCCTCGCTGTCTGACGCGTCACACGATCACCTACCCATGTCATTTACCCTGCCTCCCTACGTCTCACACATCGGCCTACCCGATGTCATTACCCTTCTTTCCCTACCTCACACGCGCACGCCAGCAACCCTCCCTACTCTCACCATCAACCTTACCCATGTCATTACCAGTCCTCCTACCTCTCAACACATCACCTACCCATGTCATTACCCTTCCTGCCCTACTCTCACACATCGGCCTACCAGGGCATTACCTCCTCGTCCGCTATTACAGATTCTGACGAACTGTTTATCATTCTCTGCACTACGACAGATGCTCACCAATGCAATGCCTTCCTCGCCTCTATCCCATACTACCTACCTCTATACACATTAGTGACCAATGTCGATACTCCCCTATCCACTATCACACATTACTGACCCAAACTAAATACTATCGCTACCTCATTATCTATTCACACATTCTGGGCCAATGAAATAGCCAAAATGTGAACAAGCCCACCCAAAATGTAGGCCCAGACCCTTAGAGGAATTGAACAGCCTTAACAAGTTTGACTGGCCCTAATTTTCAATTTATTCCATTATTAATAAAAGTATTAGCCTTTGTGTTATTAGGCCATACTCATAGTCATAGTATTTCAGTAATTTCTTGTATCAGTGAAGTTCTACTTGTTTGATCAGAATTGCTGCGAACATGATTTACTTCTTAGTAGTCACTAAGTAAAACCAGAGAGAGGCCGCGGTACAAGTGGCGTTGCCGCAAGAAGATGCGTTGATTCCCCGACCGCCGAGAGCGGTTAAGCCCGCGTACTTCGCGAGACCTGCACACGCTTGACCGCGGGGGGTTGTAATGTAGCAGGGCGGGCGCGCAAATCCGGATAGCGGAAGCGTACCATCGCCCCCAGTTTTCGTCACACCTATACCGACGCGGCTACGGCGGCCTTGGGTGAGGGCATTTGCTTGCTCAGGGGCGCGGCTGCAGCAGGGACCAGTATTTGCTGCGCCTGCCGGTGGTTTGCTGCTGCAGGGAGCGCCGGGCAGGGGCAGTATTTCTTGCCCTGCGCTGCATGGGCCAGTATTTGCGTGCTGCCTGCTGCTTTGCCCAGTATCTACGTGTACTACGATTAGCTACGTGGAAAAACTGGCCTGGCCACGCCACCGACGTACTCGCACGACGTGCCGTCGCCACGGCAGCGCGGGGTCAGGAGGTTGCTAAACGAACTTGCCACAAACGCAGGGCCCCAAGGCGCCCGCGGCGGCGGCGATTTTGGAGACCGCGCCCGCCCACGTGGGAGCCGCCGTGACCAGACTTCGTTAAAACCTCTGGGATAGACATGCACGCTATACTCGCGCAGTAGCCCACGTCAATCGGCGTAGCGGCAATGAAGCGGCGCGTGGGTCGTTGATTGACAGGCATTTTCATGGCGTTCTTGCGAGGCCACTACGCGTTACCCGGTGGACGCGCGCCACCCCAAAAATGGTTTAGGGGCGTTTGGAGATGGCCTCTAGTCGGTCGATCGCAAAATCGTCGGTTGGATTACACCCCGTTTTGGCGATCGTTTCTTTTCAACCCCTGGCTAAGGATATCTTCTCGTGGACGAAAAACGGGGGCGGGTATTCGCTGTGGGGCTGCGACTGCGCGGGCGCTGTGCACCACTAACGGGGCCGCAAGTCGGTCTAGTCAAGAAAATTGCGTAAATATTGTGATATAAATGCAAATAGGCGCAAAATTTTGAATAGGTCCAAGTGGATGAATTATATTGGAGGGGGGGGGGGGGGGGGTTAAACCGGCGGTTTAGGGGGTTGAACCGGCGGCTGCCGGCAAAATAGCACTAATCTCACGCCCTGCACATTACTTACCAATGTCAATACCCTCCTCGCCACTACGGATCTTGTCAAGGATCTGCTGCTGCAGCATCTCCAGCTGGTTGTAGGTCTTTCCTTTGAAGATTCTCACGACGTCCGTGCGGACGGCGTCGTTGATGCCCTCACGGCGGTCTCCCACGTGTTCTGCAGAGACACGAGCGACGTCAGAGATGCGACATCTACATCTACAAGGTATCTTGAAACTGGTCACAGACCCATCACTCAAGTTGCACGCGGCTGTGAGAGCCAGCGAGGCGACTTCGGCTGCGGGACGTGCTCGCAACGTACCAGCACGACTAGACCGACGAGGTCATAAGATAAAGAAGACGTGACGGCAACACATGCGCCCGTAACCGCAATAAGATCCCTGAGGAAAACGAACGATTTAGAGATGAAAAGCATACGCCACCTTTAGCTGTGGGGTCCAGTTTCCTGAGGTTACTCAGTTCTGCCTCGACCACTATAGTCATGTCTCTCCAGTAGTCAACATTGGCAGCATCGTCTAGTTCCATGTATACCTGTAACGAGGCAACAATTAAAACCGCGAATAATGCATTGATATTGTCTGTTCGCTCTCTAAATTGTACAAAGAAAATCAAGTTGAGATGAGATGAGGCCATGCAGTAAAGACAAGTCAATGACAAAGTAAAACCTTGAACTTGACCTGCAATGGCGTTTGCATTAATAATCTTGCTTGTGCTCAGTACATACTGTACACCGCATCGAAGTCATGAAGTTATTCACAGGTAAATCACTGAGGTGAGTGAAAATGTTCAGCAGGCAGTTCACACCCGAATAAAAACTTCGAGCAAACATTTTATCGGTAAAACTCGGTAAGTGCACGCGCAAGTTGTAGCGTTACCACAAGCTTCTGAACTTACTTACTAAGCTTCAAGCAACTTACCACAAGGAACAGGCACTTGGAACGTTTCAATAACAAGAGCTTATCTGAGGTCTGTTGCTACAGTTATAAACGTAACATTTAAGTCGTGCGTAGTGACACCTTTGTTAGGCGCAGTACGGACGGACGCACGGACGGACGGACGATCGTGCGATTCTACAAGCTGCATCTGACTATGTCAGATGAGCTAAATATGATGAAGGTCAAGGTCAAGGTCAATGTCAAATAAAGGTTGCAGTTACCTGGTTTCGGTACGCAACACACCTTCTCCCCAAGATGTGTAAGTATAACAAGTTTGGTCGCGCTAGGTCAATTAGGGGCTGAGTTATAGAGCGGAAAGGAAATATGATCAAGGTCAAGATCAAATAAAAGTTGCAGTGACCTGATTTTTGTACGTGACACACCTTCTCCCCAAAATGTGTAAGTATATCAAGTTTGGTAGTGCTAGGTAAATTAGGGGCCCGAGTTATAGAGCAGAAGGAAAATATGATCAAGGTCAATGTCAAGGTCAAATAAAGGTCGCAGTGACCTGATTTTTGTACGTGACACACCTTCTCCCCAAGATGTGTAAGTATACCAAATTTGGTAGCGCTAGGTCAATTAGGGGCCGAGTTACAGAGCGGAAAGGAAATATGATCAAGGTCAAGGTAAAGGTCAAATAAAGGTCGTAGTGACCTGGTTTTAGTACGCTGTGCACCTTCTCCCGAAGATGTGTAAGTATACCAAGTTTGGTCACGCTAGGTCAATTAGGGGTCGAGTTATAGAGTGGAAGGGAAAGTGTCTGCAGCGGCGCTGAGCGGCGGCGGCGGCTGCACAGACATGAAACCATAGTATCCCCGCCGACTTCGTCGCGGGGGATACAATAATATCAAATATGCAGACATAATTTCATCAATTTATCAAGGTATGAGTGCTGTATCATTACAGCACTAACCTAATTTATATGTCATTCATTCTGTGTGCCACTGTAAGAGCGGCCGCGCTGAAGTTAATATCGCCTTCCGACTATCACATGTTACTCGCCAGAAATCAATACCCACCTTTGCCTCACCACAGGCTGCTTACCGATCTACACACACGTTTTGCTGGTACCACAGATTACATCACATCGTCATCACGCATCTATACTACGAGAGACTGCGTACCAATGTCAATTTCCATCCCTTCTTCTCACTTCGATAAACTGCTTACCCATGTCATTACCCTCCTCCCTACTCTCACACATCACCTACCCTTGTCATTACCCTCCTCCCTACTCTC